CTCAGAATCTAAAATATTATACAATACACAAATTACAAATGAAAATAATTTATTAAGGTAGTACCTAGTATAGCTCACGGAATAATAATAAAATTAATAAGATTAATATTAAAATATAAAATTAAATAATACAAAAAAATAATAAAGATGTTATTTTGGTAAGATAGCTCACAGAAATACATTTTTTTTAAATATCATCATTTGAAAAACTTTCACATAATTGTGCTTCATAAAAGAGTTTTAATAAAAAGCCAAATATTTGGATGATAATTCGCACTAATGTTGCAAATTTATTATTCCACTTTCCACTCTTCCAAAGTATTATTTGTTCTGCGGTTCTACCTATGCCTGCTTTAGTTAAGAGGACGCTAAACCCGCATATGTTGTCTCAGTCTTATAAGTGCGTAACATAGCGAATTTTACGTTCAGCATATCACGTTTAGCTCCGTTAGTTAATACTCATATATTTTAAGATATACAAACAATTTAGAATTTTAAAATACACATAACTCTCTTTAAAATAAAAATATAWTAAAAAGCCTACGAGGTGCCCTCGATAATAATGTTACCTTTAATTTTTGTAAGAAGTCAATTTACTTTAAATTTTAAACTAACGGAGCTAAACGTGATCTGCTGAGCATAAAATTTGTTACGGTACGCGCTTGTAAGACGAAGACAACATATTATGCGGATGTAGTGCTTAGATAATAATATATACATGGATAGGACATCCCTTTACCTATTAATTATTATACACGGTATACTGTGAGCGAAGAGTCTACTCGTTACCCAATTGGTTATATGCGGTTACAGATTCTGGTTTATGATAAATAACATTTTTATCAATCTGATTTGTGCCAATTTTTGAATCAATACAATAAATTATYAATTTCATTTTAATTCATTATTTATTAATTTATTAATATTATTTMTTTAAAATTGTATACAAATGTTTATATTGCGGTTCCACTTCAAAAAATAATGACGAACAAGCCTTGCCTTTTCATTCGTTGAAATAAATTTTTAGTTATTCTATAATTATTATTATTTTATTTTTAAATTCAAGATTCCCGAAAGATCAAAGACGATATTTATGGCTAGATTCTTTAGGCTTAAGTAATGCAGGAAAGCGGGACAAAATATGTTCTAAGCATTTTAATTCTCAACATTTTATGGTGGGTGTTTCAAAAAATACATTATTAAGCGACACAGTACCTAGCCAACKGATTTTAAGAATAGTGATATACATATAATACTTGGACATCAGAATGTTTCACGAAATAAAAAAAAATGAACGAACAATCAAAAATTAGATCAAAGTTCACCAAATTAATTTTATTTAAACACCAATAATGTACCCAATAATTGTTTTCATTTATTATAATCATTTTTACATTAAACATATCTGTAAACTTTTTTTTACCATTGAGTTATTTAATATTTYTTTGACCAATTAAATGTAAACTATCGAACACGTTATAACTTATAAGCAACTTAATACAAAATACAAATAATAAATAATATCACTTTCCAGATTTTTCCCTTCGATGTGCCCCAAAAATTGCGTTTTCGTTATCACCTATGGTTGATACCACACCTTAATTTTAATTAACCATTTTGGTAACTWGTATGCTCTTCGATCACACTTGAATACATGGTATGTCCTATCCATATATATATTATCTATGGTGTAGCGACCTCTTAAGTCAAACACGTTCCATATGAAAGGTGTAACTATCGGAAGTATTGACATATTATGATGATCGTATATTTCTGGTAAACCAAAGATCCAATGGTTCAACCTATTAATATATGTAAAAAAATATACTGATTCAGGGGGGAAATTTCTGTCCGGGAGAGGGACGTCCAGTACCGGTAAAATTGTCAGGAGGGGGGAACGTCCAATTACCAAAAATATTATCACCTAAAAGGAGTCCTTATAGGACGTGATACCTGCATGTGTTGTCTCTGTCTTACAAGTGCGTAACATAACAAATTTTACAGCAGGTTATAAATATCATAAGATTTACAAAATATGTACTGGCTTCAAAATTAAAATCTAGTAAAAATCCCATGAGTTCGTCTAAATAATACTCTTAACCAAATACGCTTCTGTGGTAAATATGAATAAAACAGATTCATCCCCAGCTGAAATTTTTTTAATATTTTTAAATAAATACAAAATAAAATGTGTTCAAAATACATATTCGAATATGTTCTAATTAGTTATACCATATAGAACAATAGCAGGCTATACTTAGATTTTGTAATATTGAATTATCAATTAATGTATAGGTACCTATTTAATTGAACTTACCTATATACGTTTATAATCACATATAAATACTTGTAACATAATACATTTGGCTGTGTGTTCTTTTGGCAATGTCCCAGTGGTCTCCCTGTCTACTGACTTTAACATAAAATGTGTTTATTTTTATACATTGAAGATAGCTTTTGAAATGCCACGACTTCTAAAACAAAATTCTGAAGTATTTACAATAAAAACAACTTGAGTGTTAAATGTTACAACTGTAAAAACTTTACTTCATATTTAAATAATTTTTGAATACTTAAATATACAATATACCTAAGCTGATACAAATCTTATATTTATTAGACTATAATACAGTGAAAACTCTTTATAACGAAACTCGCTATGACGAAAAASTCTATATTACGTAAATAACATTAAGTTAACTTATAATGGTTGGTTTGATTTAAAACCTATTAATTACTCTCTATTACAAAAACTCTCAATAACGAAAGAAATCACATGGTCCCTTCAGATTCGTTATAGAGAGTTTGMACTGTATTTGTAATTCTTTAGCCCTGGCTTCATTGGTTAAAATAGTGTTGATTGTCTCAAGACTATACCTAATTGTGGTCAGTATATTAGTATAATAATCATCAACCAATAAATACTAAATTATGTTACACTAAATTTTCATGTACATAATAATAAATATCGTTTTTATTCTATAACAGCTTATATTGCGCATTTAAAAAATTTTGTAACAATAGACACGCACACAGTTCAGATTGTTACATGGGCTATCAATACCGTTTGCGTACCTTTTTATACAATAGAATAACACATGATTGTCATTGTACGTGTTTCTGAAGCCATCTGGTAATGGGCTATAAATTACCGGAAACGGATGAAGTCTTTACATATTAGTATATTACATCCCCTTAAGTTCGCGCATGAATAAAATCTCATATAAATCTAGTTATTTTTGTCYAAAACTGTCACATGCATACGTCCGGTTCCTGTATATTATTATTATTTCATTTTTCAAGACAATCAAACTAGCAAGGCATTATTAACACGTGTGTAAACCTTYCTACACAATATATCGTGTGTATAATACATTTACTATTAATAGACTTGTATTCAATATCTATTTTAAAACTAAATCCAAGTAATTTAAATAATATTAATCAAATATTAGTTTTCGTAAGTATTTTCAAGTTTTTAAATCTAACTTCGAAGTCCTTACAAATTATTTTTTAAATCTCWGTATATCTAACCGTTTAGACTTCAGTATGTATCTACTATATTTTAGAATCTGAATATCATTAATTTGTATCTATTGGCTATACCCTATTGTAGATCATAGTATGGTTGTTGTCAATGTTTTGTAAATTTCAGTTTGCTACTTAGTAAAATTAAATATTATTATACATTRAAAGATTTATTTATCTGTACATTTAATAACATAATAATATATTGAATTATTGATTAATAATTTATGTAAAGGTAKAATKTTTTACATTTTCTTTCAACCATTAAGCATTTTAGATTCTAAGCAAAGCAGATTTATATTRCCTATATAATTACTACATCTACAACTATAATTTACAGTAATTTTCAAAAGCGTTTGGTGATATAAAAGAAAAATAAATAATTAACTGACATTTTCATTTAAAATCAGTTTTTAGAAAATTGATTTTGTTTTTTATAATAACTTAAAAAACGACAAAAATAAATAATCGTAGATTCTTGAAATTTTAATATGCCTATTTTTTATACAAAATAATTTTTTTTTAATATGTTGACTCTTATTGTTGTAATAGTAGTTTGGATGTATTATTTAAAGTTCAAACTGATGAAGTTAATCAAAATCACGAACATTTGCAAATCATTATGTTATTAAAAGTTATAAAATAATCAATTTTTATAGCTAAGGATTGGAAAATGTTTGAAACAAGGTTTCTCATRAATATACTCTGCTTGGAATTAGAACGTACCCAGACGGCGGACCAAAACAATTCCGGTACTCCCGGCTTATGACTATACAATGAAATGCTTATAAGTTATAACTTATAAGTTAACAACTATGACAAGGTTTCGTGTGGTGAACCGGTCGCCTTCTACGCGACGAGGTACTTTATTATTCCACACAGAATATAGTTCATATTGTAAATAAAAATTCTAAAAAATTATTTGTCCAATTTTTTTTATAGATATTTCAAGTTAAATTTGAAATTAAATTAGATATTTAAATAAAGAGTAAAAATTTTAATTGTTTTTTTGTGATGTAAAAATATTATTCGTGACTCGTGACTACTTGAAACTAA